GTCTGTATTTTACACACCAGTTGGATGTTACCGTCACATGAAGAAGAGAGAACCTGAACAAGATCACGGCTACGAGCTCTAGAGTTAAAAATGAACACACAAACCCCCGGGGAGCCCGACCGCGGATGAGGAATCCAGCCTGGAAAAGCGGGGTGCCTGAGGGGCCACGGGGGGACACCCGGCTTGGCAGAGCCCTGGCCCTGCCACCCCTTCCCCAGGCATGTAAGTCTTCTTTTATGTTAAAAAAAGAGAGAATATGACAAAAATACAAATGTCCCTAAAAGCGTTGTTATTACTGTAATAGCAGTATTATGACTTCTCTCCAGATTGTCCAAAATCGTCTAAATTGGGGCTGCGGGAGCTGCTGGGAACCGAGGGTGCCACGGGGGAAGCAGGAAGACTGAGGATGATCTGGCGTCCACCATGGAGAGCCACCGCCGACCCTGTTGTCACCCCYCTGATCCCTGTGGAGCTCCCAGGTGGGTCCGTCCCTGGTTTTGGGGGGTCCTAGGGAGCGGGCAGGGGTCTGGCATCTGCACCCCGGGGCTCCACGGGGACGCTGCTGCTGGCACCGATCCTGCCAGGCTGGCTGGCCCGGAGAATGCCACCAGCCCGGGGAATGTCACCCGCCTGGGATGCGCAGCCCTCGGTCCACCCTTTATCCCCAGTGGTGGGCACCCGGCTGGAAARGGACCCTGTGGAGCTCCGCATCCCCCCGAGGTGTCCCCACCTGCCCGGGGTGGGAGGGAGAGCAGGACCGGGGGGCCCCCGAGCGGCTTAGGGACCCCCCTGCTCCTGCCGAGCCCCAAGACGGAGGTAAAGCATCGAACCCGGCTGAAGGCAGTGCACGGAGGAGCCCGCTTTGGGTAAGGAACTGTGTCATGGCTTCCGATCCCAGGAAAAGGGGCTGTCCCCTCCCCTCGGTGTCCCCCGCCCGCCCCGGGGACTCGGGTCGGGGGGGAGGCGGCGGGGATGGGGCGGGGCAGGGGGGGCTCCGTGGCTCCGCTGGCGGCTCTGAGAGGTTTTATTGAGCTGAAAGGGGAGGGAGGGAGGGGGTCCCTCTTGCCCCCGCAGCCTGAACCCCTGAAATGGGGCGGGGCGAGGCCGGGCAGGGTCCGAGGGGCTCCGGGTGCAGGGCTGGAAGCACTCGCAGAAGTCCTGCCCGGTGGTGGGGAGAGGGATGGGGGGGACATCGCTTCTGGCACCTCCTCGGCCGGGCTTGGGAACGGCTCCGCACCCCGCACACCCCAGGGAGAGGCGAACCCGGGGAGCTGGGGGGCTCTGTCCCCCTCCTCCCGCCGGTCCCAGGCTGGGAGCTGGGAAGGGGGACCCTGAGCCCGCGGTCTGGGAGCGCTCAGGCCTTCAGCTGGTGCCACTGTGCCACCGCCTGCCGCGGGCGGGCGATCATGTCCTTCCAGTGCTTCACCTCGCCGGGACCGCTCTTCCACGACAGGTAAATCTGCGGGAAAGGCATCCATGGAACCACCGCGTCCTCTCTATCCCCGTCCCGCTGCCCGGTGCTGGCACCTTCCCCCCCAAACTGCTCCATCCCCGCTTTTCTGGGCTCGGCGCAGAGCCAKGCTATTTTTATGCCTCGATTTTCCATATGGTGCCACAGAAAAKCGCGTGTGCCAGCTCTTGCTGCTGCCGCTGACACCTCAGGAAGCCGGTGCCACCGCGCCGGCTCCGTGGATCGTCACCAGAGAGCGGGGATGGAGCAGAGCTCGCTGCTAATTATGAGATCAAAAGTGATTAGCGAGCCACAGGCCACGGCAGGATTTAGCAGAGAGTGGGATATCACGGATACTGCCTGTCCATCCCTGGAACCGGGCTCTTGGATGTGCCCACGTCGGGGACGCCGCCACCTCTGCCCCTGCCCGGCAGCCTGCAGCGCTGATCCGGGATTTATTTAATGGATTTATCCCTGCTGCTGTGTTTCCCTGGTCCCAGCTCAGCTTTTGGGGATCACGGGCAGAGATTATCGCGCTCGTTTGTCACCGTTGTGCTAACGATGAGGCTGTGATTTCATGGATAATTCCTGCGCTCCTGTCACCGGGAGCGGTCCCAGGAGATGGGATGAGTGTGGCATCCCTGCTTTCCTGGGAATATTCTGGCACTCTGTGACGCCCAGGATGAGGGGTCCCCACCTTGCTCCACACTGCAGCCCCAGCCCTGGCCGTCCCCAGTGCCACCTTGGGTGTCCCTCAGGYGTGTCACCCACCTTGCCGATGACATCGTTGCGGCTCAGCCGGTCCTTGTCCATGACGGTGATGACGATGGTGGTTTCACGCAGACGCTCCGTGGGGATGTCAAAGGCGAAGGACTCGTTGAAGACAGGGTTCAGACACCGCTTCATCACCACCGTCTTCTTCTTCTCCACCCGCTTGTCCTTGTACATCAACCACACCTTCACGTAGGGATCTGGGGAGGAGAGGAGCCAGTCTCAGCCCGGGATGGTAGCCAGGGAATGCTGCCCGGGGTCGGGGGGAGCTGGAGCAGTACCTGAGGTGCCCCCGATGTCCATGGCTTTGAGGTTCCGCGCCTTGATGATGTTCACCACGATGGAATTGGCCGAGGGGTTRTAGCACAGCGACAGCAGCAGCTCCCCGCGGCTCCCCTGCGGGACACACAGATTCCCTGAGGACACCCACGCCCCACAGAGCTCCTCTGTGAGAGTGGGGTGCTGGGATGAGCCCCCCACTGCCGCCCAGGATTGGCTCGAGGGTGGGGTTTGGGGCTGCAYGGAAAATCAGAGCAGGAGGAAACGGGGTCGCCCCCAGTGGGACATTTTCTGGTCTTGCTGGAGGCGGGAGGAGAAAACTTTCATTTTAGATCTACCTGAAACAGTTTGGTTTGACCCAAAATGAGACTTTGGGCTACTTAATATAAAATTTAGGAAGAAAAAAATCTGTCAGACATTGAAGCAGAAAATGTCCCTGGCTGGGACGGGGAGGTGGTGCCGTTGGGACACCGCAGGGACCAGGGGCCACCTCCCCTCCCCAGGGTGGTAGGAGAGGGTCCAGAGCCTTACACTGCCATCACTGCAGGGCTTCAGATCCTTCCAGAAGGTCTGCATCTGTGTCAGGTCCACCTTATTGAGTGGGATGGACACCTCTCCGATGGGATCGTTGCGGCTGAAGCGGTCGTAGTCCAGGACCTGGAGGTACAGCACCCGCTGCACCACCTTCTCATAGGGGAACCCTGTGCCAGGCAGGAAAAGCTGGAGATGAGGAGCAATTCCAGGACTGCTCCATCCTTCTTGTCCTAGCGGTGTGACCCTGACACCAGGCAGAGGACGGGGAGCAGACCCCAGCACGGGGAGATGCTGCCAGGTTAACACCCATGGGGGCACTGAGCCTTCCAAACCTTCCCCCACATCCCCTTTATGGGATGCACATCCAACCCGGCTTCAGTGGGGTGGCCAACCCATGGCATCACCAAGAGGRTGATGAACCCCAGGATGGCCCCAGCTGGCTCTGGTCTGCTCCATCCCAATCCATACCTTCAAAGAGGAAAGTCTCGTTCCAGTGTGGGTTGAGGTTCTTCCTCTTGACCTTGGTCTCCAGCTTGTGCTTCTTGTCGGGCAGCAGGTAGATCTTAACAAAGGGGTCACTGGTGCCGCTGAAGTCCTTGGCCGGCAGCTCCTGCGCCTTCATGATCTTCACGGTCAGGGTGGACTCCTGGAAGTTGTAGCCGACGCTGAACTGGATGCGACCCAGATTCTCCCGGCTGACGCCTTCGTGGCCCTCGTCATCCTCAGAGCCCGGGGAGAGCTGCGGGAGGGGGAGAAGAGGAGAGGAGGGGGGTGAGTGCAGCGCCGGGGGGGCTGGCGGGGACCCGTCCCCCGACCCCAGCCCCGCCTGCTGTCAGGGGACATCAGCCTCTCCCCGGCTCCCCGCCACCCCCACCGCTTCCAACAGCTCTTGGCTCGGTGCCACTCGTCCCGTGGAACGGGAGCTCCAATTATCCAAATTCCTCCTGACAGTGCGTCCCTCACGTGTCCGGCACCGCTCGCTCCCCCGTGCCAGCCCGGAGGACACGAGGGSGACTCGGCACAGCAGGCGGGGAGGTGCTGGAGCGCTTATGGATGGCGCAGGGAAGGGSCAGGAGGGTGGGAATACTGACCGTGGACACCCCCAAACCCGGCACACCCCACGCACCCACCATGAGCATCTCGCTGGTCAGGGAGTTGACCAGGTCGGAGACGGAGGAATGAGGCTCCGTCTTGCGGTCGGACTCGTCGTGAGGCGGCTGCCCCGGCGCTGGTGCCACATTCCCAGCCTTCCCACCGGCCGGCAACCTGGGGGGAGAAAGGCCTTGGAGGAGAGGGGCTGGGAGCAGAGGGGCAGACAGCGAGGAGCTCCTCGGGCGCCCTCTCCCAGTGGACACTGAGCCTGGGCTGTGCCGGCACCTGAGCGACACTGCTGGGACACGCGGTCACCGCAGCTCGCCAGCATCCTTGGCCCCGRTCCCAGTGCCAGCTGGTGCCCTGGCACCTTTAGGGCACGGCAGCAGGTCCCCCTGCCACGTCCCAGGGTGATCTCCCTGTGGGGACAGCCCGGTCCTCACAGCACTCACGGCTCACACTGCTCCTCACACACCACAGCCCCTTRTCCCGGTGGGTGCCGGGCACCCACAGGTGCTCCACGTGGGCTCGCTGCCCCCCTTTCCTGTGGCTGGGACACCCCTGGAATCACTGCCCTGGCTGTCCCCACACACGGTGGCTCCCGGGCACCGTGCCAGGCAGGGTGGACAACTGGGAGCGGCGGGAGGCAGACGGACAGAGCAGCGATGGAGACGGGCTGGAATTTGCCAAGGCCACACCGCCACAAGGTACGGGGACAACGGGATGCTCCCACCCTCCCCACCACAGCTCCTGCCCGAGCTGGGAMATGGTGACAAACCACCGGACAGACTGACAGGCACAGGGTCACACGGGAAGCCGCAACATGCCACGGACACACGCCACCACACCAAGCACACGCAGACAAACAGGGAGGGGACGTGGCGGGGGCGATGGGGACACCCACACGCACGCACAGGATGGCACCCGGCAAGGACCGGAGAGGCCGAGGCAGCTGGGGAGGCAAAACTACGTTAAAACCAAGGAAAATGAAGGCAGAGGAGCCGGCGGCAGGGCCGCTGAGCGAGGAGGCGTCAGTGGAGGCCGGGAATGCCGGCAGAGGTCACGGATAGAGGGAGAGAGAGCAGGAGAGAGCAAAAGAAAAAGGAGGAGCAGCGTCGTCCAGCGCCGGCCTGCCGGGAGGGAATGGGAGAGAGGAACGGGGCGGATGGACGGACAGACGGAGTCTCCGGGACGGGAGACACGCCGAGGCGCTGRGCTGGAGCCACCGCGGACAGGCTGGAAGGAAGAAGCTGCGAAACAGGGATGGAGGAGATGTTTTGAGGAAGAAGAGCCGGCGGTCGGCAGCGTCAGTGGGCGGGAGAGAGCCGAGGCTGCCGGAGCGTGTGCCCTCCGCCGGCCAACCCCACCACATCCTGCGGAGCCCAGGGAACGAGGAGCGGGAGGGATGGAGGTGGGAACTGCCATGCACGTGCTGGGATGGGATTTCGGAGCAGGGAGCTGCGGGAAGCGGGGAGCAGGGTCTTGCGGCACAGCCACCCACCCGCCGTGTCCCACGTCCCCGTCCCCTCGGCACGGGGCAGCCGGCGGCCGGCAAAGGCTGCCGGTGCTCCCGGCGGGGACCGGCTGCGCAGCGCGACGCCGGAGAGGAAAGTGCTAAAAGATGGAGCGAAACCAAGCGGAGCAGGGTAAAAATAGCCGGCGGGCGCAAACGTTGCCAGTTCATCCGCACGCTGAGCACATGGGGAGGCAGCGCCGCCGGCTTCACACCTCCTCCCCGCTCCGGAGGGGATGAACACCCGCTCCCGGCGGCGCACGGACCCTCTGCCTCTGCCAGCCAGCGCCGGTGGCTGTGGCCAGGCGCCGGTGCCAGGGCTGGATGCACTGCCGAGCCTGCAGCACGCCGGGAATGCGGGAGCAGCCGGAGGCGAGGGGCTGTGCCGTGCCGGAGGAGGACGGGGGATACGGCGTCCCCCAGCCCGTGGCGCTTGCTCTGGCCCGCTGTCACCGCAGCGGTGTCCCYGTGTCCCCAGGGGAGCTGCCCATCCTGCCGGGATGGTGTAACGGCAACGTGTCGGGATGGGACATGCGACATCGCTCGGGGCGCACCTCCCGTGTCCCCTTGTTCCTGAGCGTGTCCCCCTCCCGCCCACCGCATGCAGCCAGGGCCGGGAAGGGCAGGAGGGGGAGGAAGGAGGGAGGAGGGAGGAGGAAGGGATGGGGGTCCTCTTGGTGCCGCTGCTCCAGAGGCAGAACCGCGGGTGCCGGTGCCAGGGAGAGCTCAGACGTCCCGGTTCCCGCTGGGCCACCCTGTGCCGCTCCAACCTTCGCGCTCCACGAGGCCAGCCTCCTCCTCCTCCTCCTCCTCCACCCTGGGTGAGGCCCTCGTCTCCTCCTCCTGCGGGACTGGCCTCGTCCTCACTCATACCTCTTGTCCCCCTGAGCGTTCGCCTGGTTCGGCTGCGTCCCAGCGGGTTGCAGGTCGGGAATATTGGCAAAGTCATCTTGCTCTGAGAGTCCCAAAACCAGGGATAACACCACCATCCGGCCTTCCCTGCCCGGGCAGCCCCGCCAGCAGCGGGAGAGAGAGAGAAAGAGAGAGGAGAACACACCGTCAGGCAGGGAACCGGCGGGAGCCGGCAGTGAGGGGACCCCGGCTCTGCCTGCCGGCTCCTGCGAGGTGGCGATGGGCGGGATGGGCGCACGGGGCTGTGGGGAGAAAAGCGCCGGCTCCGCCGAGCTCAGCACGTGTGGATACCCCTGCCGTCCCTGTCCTCTACCGATCCGGGCAGGGAAGATGCCAAAATCCTGATGAAGGGAGGCAAAAGATGCCTGGAGGGGCTGGGAATGAGGGGGAGCGTGACAGGAGTGAGGCGTCAGCGTCATTCCATGGAGGAGGGGATGGCAGTGCCATGGCCAAGGCTCTTTGCCCTCTCTGAGTCCTTCCCCGGGTCTGTGACTGCATTTGCACCGCGGCGCCGGAGAGGGTGAACAGGGTGAAGAGCAAAAGGAAAATCGATGGATTGGGAAAGAGGCGGTGGGAAATGACAGCGGCTCCTCCCCTGGGAAGCGGCGCTGACTCGGCACGTCTGGGCTCTGCGGCTGCTCCCTCTCTGCCAAGTCAGCCTGGAACCAGCACCGGTGCTGGGTAAACAGGGAGAATGTGACCCTYGGGGTGGCTGTGGGCCGCAGCTCCACATCGGGAAGCTGGGAGGAGCGTCTTGGTGGGAGAGGGCAGAGCGGAGCGGGGATGGTGGGCAGTGCACCCCAGGGGGCCTGGAGGAAGGTCCAACCCTCTCCACAGAGCGGGAAGGAGTGGGATGGGAACCCAAATTTGTGTCTCTCGGTCCTTCCCACCTAATCCTGATGCGGAAAGTGCTGTGGCAACTCATGGAAGGGCAAGATCAGGCCTGAGTCCCCCTGCAAGCACCACCAGCCTGCAGAAAGCAAAGCTGGGATCTCATTTTCCCTTTTTCCAGGGTTCCAGGGGGCAAACAGTGGCCAGGGAGGATCCGAGGGAGGACGGAGCTGGAGGGCCCAGCTCTGCAGCAGAGTGACAATGTCATGTGCTGAGATACGGTGRCAACACGGGACTTGGATTAGTCCCCGGGGTTTGATGCTGGAAATCCAGCAGCAATGGAGGAGCACGGATGGAGGAGATGGGGTTAAGACGGATTAAAGATCCCACGGCTCCTCCTCCTACCCAGCTGAGAATGATATCGGGGCCCAACTCACGGTCACCTCGGCACRGGGGCCTCTGCCACCCCCACCCTGGCGACCTGGGACAATGACACTCCCTGGGGACCTCGCCAGTGGCTGTCCCATGGGCTGGACCATCGCTGGGAATGGAAGGGGATGGCCAGGGACACGGCAAAGCAGATTGGGCAGGTGCATGAGACCCTTCCCTGAGCCCCCCTGGATCTTCCCGCAGACCATGGGCAGCATGTCCCCAAGGGGGTGACGGATGACCGGCCATGCTGGGGCATGTGAAGGAGCAGAGAGGGGTGGAGAGGGATTGACAGAACAGAGGCAGAAGAGAAATTAATTGAGAGAAGGATAGAACAAAAGGATGGAGCAGAAGAGAGAGGGAGGGAGAGAAGGATAGAGAGAACACAGGAGAGGGATAGAGAGAAGGATGGAGCAGGCAGAGAGAAGGATGGAGAGAGGGACAGAGCAGAGAGAAAAGGAGCAGAAGACCGCGATTGAGAGAGGGATGGAGAGAACAGAGGAATAAAGCAGATGAGAAGGTGATGGAGAGTGATGGAGAGAGAGCAAAGGAGGGGAAGGGATGGAGGAGGAATGGCGGGGTAGGGTGGAGAGAAGAATGCAGAAGGCAGAGATGGCAAACGCACACTTACAGGAAGGACTTCATGTCCAAGCCGCGGTTGCGGATTTGCCCCACCACGTGGTCCCAGCTGCCGGGGTTGGAGCGGCTCCGGCCCCCGGCCATCCGTTGCTTGGAGCCGGCGGCGGTGCCCTGGCGCGCCGGGCCCCCGCGGGAGCCCCGGGAGTTGGCGGCGGCGGCGGCGGAGCCGCTGTGGGCCTGGAGGTGGCCCAGGCTCTGGCTGGTGGTGGGCTGGCTGTGGTTGGCGCGCTGGTGCTGGCTCAGGGGCTGCTGCAGACTTTGCTGGCGCATGAGCGTGCGGGGCCTCTGGAATTTGGGATCGCCTGCTGAGGTGGGGATATACTCAAGGGTAGTGGCTGTGGACAGGGTGGAGTCCTCGAAACTTAGGGAGAGGAAGGGCAGAGGAGAGGAGAGAAAGGAGAAGAAGGTGAAGGGGCAAAATTGGAGGAAGGAAAAGAAGAGAGTTAGAGAGAAGATGCCCCAGCGCAGGGAGCGCTCCGGCGGGAGCCAGCGGGGGCAACGCCCGGATCCTCCGCCCCTCGCCCGCGGCTCGGCCCTGCCGGCAGCACGGGGGGCTCGGGCCGTCACCATCCTGCCTCCCGGGGGGATCGCCAGGGTCGGATGCCACCCGCTCCCGCGGCCGCCGCTCCGCCAGCGCCTTCCCAGCCCGCCGGCCGACCTGCTCTGCGGGAGAATTAGGCTGCTGCGGGGCGGCGAATCCCGCGGCGCCGCTCACGTGCTGCCAGCCAGCCCAGCCCAGTGTCCCGGTCCCTCCCAGTCCAGCCCAGCGCGGAGCGGCGGTGCCGCGGGGGCTCGGTGTCCCGTGCCCTCGCTGCGGGTCGCTGCGGGACGCGGGGGTCCCGTGTCGCTGCGGGAGCCGAACCCCCGTGGGGGTGACATTCCGGCCAGGCGTCCCCAGGGCCAAGCCAGGCTCCCACCGGGGTGGGAGATGATGGGATGGGGGGACACGGACGCAGCCCTGATGGAACGCGGGGAGCGGAGCAGCTCAGGCCGGGGCGGGCGGGCTTCGTGTGGCCGGCGGAGCGGGGAGAGCAGGCGGGATGCTCCAAGGAAGCGGCGCTGGCCGGCCCTGGCCATGCAGCACATGCGTGGCACAGCCCATGCAGCCGCACACGGGTTGCCCATGGCAGCCTGGAAAGCTCGTAGCCACGAGGGCAGTGGGCGAAAGTCCCCACGGGATCACCGCCTGGCACTGAGGAGCGGCCTCGAGCGGCAGCCACCGACCCCGTCCCGGTCCCCGCTGGGATCGCGGGGCGAAGCTGTGCCGTCGTGCAATGCCAGCAGCGAGGACAGAGAGGGAGCGGGGAGGGATAAACAGCTCCAAAAAACAAAAACAAAGAGGTGAAGAAAGAGCTTAAGGTGGGAGAAAGAGAGAGAGGAGGGAAAGGAGTGGAGAGGAGCGGAGAGCTGGGACGGACGGAGCCCCACGGCCAGAGCCGAAGGCACTGCCCGGGAGCTGCCGCCCACAACCCCCTCCCCCCGCCCCGCCCCCCGCGCTGCCGCCGACCTCCTTTCGTTTTCCTATCGAATCCTAAATTAGTTCGATTTACAACCTCTCAGTCACAGGAAACTAAATCTGGCTCCTGTCGGCCCCGCGCCAGCTGGAGGCGAGAGCTCCTCCAGCGCCGTGCCAGGCGGCGCCGCGCCCTGCCCGTGCCCGGATGGATCCCCTGGCACCGGGGATGGATCCCGCACTTCCAGACCCCCGGCCAGGACCCCCGGGACACCCCCAATCCCGGCGGCGCTGCGCCAAAAGGATGCTGGAAAACGGGATGCTCCGCCACGTCCCCTTGACCCTGCTCTCGCCGCCTGTGCCGGTCCATCCGTCTGTCCGGATTCACCGCGGGAGATTYATTTCTCCACCGAGCCTGGGGACGGCTGAAGGCTACGCCGCTCCCGCTTTTCCTCGCCTCTCCCTCCTGCTTCCCAGCGCCCAGCWGGAGCGCACCAGCCTCACGCCTGATGGGCGGTGTCACCGAACTCTCCGGGGCGCCGGCGCTGCTGATGCGACACCCCGGCTGCCACATCCAGCGCGGAGAACCGGAGCGCAGACCGGGAACACCGGACGGAGCCCGCAGCCGGCAACTCGCGTCACCCCCAGCAGGGCCACTGGGGTGGCCAGCGGTGAAAGGTCTCACCGAGACGCCCATCCCAGCCTGGCGCCCTAAAGAGTGTGCCAGGGCTCGGATTTTCCCTGAAGCAGATCAATCCCGGACCTTCCCCAACTTTTCTCGGCATCAGGTGGTGGTGCCGGCGCCGGGTCCAGTGGCTGTGCCGGGGGTCAGGGGAGCGCACGGGGGGWAGATGCCACGCACTGACCCTGATTGTCCCTGAGGGATGGGGACATGGGACAGGGCGCCTCCTGCTTTTGGGAGATCACCAAGATCTGCCTGCCCTGAGAAGCCGAGTTGGGAATGCTGAGCCGCTTCCCACCGGGATTGAGCAGGAGCACCCTCAGTGTCGGAAATACACTGGGGACTGCACSCAAAAGTGCTGCTCCTGCCCAGCTGCCTCCTGTGCTGCCCCTGAGCCAAAACACCGCTGGGAGAACGAGAATCGCCTCCCTCGGCACGGTGGTCCTGGGGACCTGTTGGTGGCCCTGGGGACTTATCGGTGGCCCCCATCCGAGCGCATCCGCAGCGGGGGCGGGCGCCCGGGCCCGCCGGCCGTCTCCATGGCCGTGCCGTGCCGGACCGTGCCGTGCTCACTCACTTGGACAGGCTGAGCTTCCCTGCGGCCAAGTGGCTCTGCACCGTGTGCCAGCGGCCCCGTGCCGCCTTTCCCGCTTCGGGCTCACTGTGGGCGGACACGCTGCTCCTCATTCCATCCTCGCCGAGCCGCTGCTTGTCCCCGGGCCGGCCGTCGCGGTCCCCGGACAGCCCGGCGGCGGCCGACGCCGTCAGCTTGGCCCCTGATAACAGAGAGCCACTGGGCCGGGCCGGCGGCGGGACCCCCCCAGACAGACACGAAGGAGCCGGACGGACACACGGACGGACGTGGAAAACGGGGAGCCGTCAGGGAATGGGGGAAGGGCGACAGAGCCGGAGGGGACAGACGGACAAGAGACGGACAGACAGACAGAGAGAGAGAGAGAAACATCAGCACTGCAAAAAAATGGGGTCCTGGCCGCGGGATGCACGGGGGCCTCGGCAAAACATCCAAGAGAAAGTGGGGAGGAGGGAGAGGGGTCGGGAAATGGGGGGGGGGTCCCGCTCGCCGGCAGCCCAGCCCCGGGGGAGCCCTTCCCCGCACCGAGGGGGTGCCCCCAACGCGCAACCCCGTCCTGGAGGGAGATCCCGGCCGGCCCCGGGAATGAGGGAAGGAGGGGTTGCTCGTCTCCATGGGACGGCCCATGGGGTGGCGTGCGGGGAGCCCCGGAACCAGAGGAGGAGGAGATGGAGGGAGAGGAGGAGGAAGAGGAGGAGGAGGAAGGCGAGTGGGTGCTGCCCGTATACTCACTATGCGGAGCAAACCCGGTAAGGAGAGACTCACTTGAGGGAAAGGCGCGGATCACCATATGGAGCGTAAGGAGAAATGTTTAGGATAAACTCCTTGGGAGGGTAGGAGCTCCATTTCTGCTGCACTGTGTTGTCATTGTTATTCCAAAAGTCTCTGTCTAGATCACTACAGCGGCCGGATTCCAGGGGAGAAAGAAAAGGGAAATACAAGAGAGAGAAGCTGAATTCCTGGGAGAGGGAAGGAAAAGCAGCCCTCCGCCCCCGGAGTGCCGGGATCCTGTGGAGAGAGACAGGGAACCCACCCCTCAGACACCGACACACACACACGCACACGTGGACACGGACAGAAGGATGGACGGATGGATGGATGGATGGATGGGTGGATGGGAAGAGCTGTGGAGAGACGGGAGCGGGCAGCTCCGCCGGCTGGGAAGGAGAGAAGGATGTGAAGGATTAGGAGGGTGTTGGTGAGCACGGTGATGGCACGGCATTCCCAAATGTGTGTCCCTGTGCCTTTGGCACACGTGTCCGTGTGTCCTCGCCTGCTCAGCAGCTCGTTCCTGGAGGTGCTTGGTTAGACCATGACAGACCATGACACTGCTGAGTGYTGGAGACCCTTCTGGATCCCTTCTYYTCCGGATCCCTTCCCATGGAATTGGCCTGCTGCCAGCATGGAACCCTCCTGGCTCCAGTAAGCCACTGGAGCTGTGTGCCAGGGACTGGGGGGCTCAGCAGCTCCCCGCTGCCACTGAGAGACTGGAAAAGCCACCAATGCCCACCTGCAGCTCCGGGTTGATCCTGGCTGTGTGAAACGTGCCGGAGTTTTGGAAAGCTGTGTGTACTGTGACATCAGGAGGGGATGTGGCTCYCCCTCCATTCCCAGCTCATTCTGGTTGGCTGGGAGCAGCCTGAGGTTCCCTAGATTCCTGCACCCCGATCACACCCAGGCTAGCCACGGGAGGAGCTTTTCCATAGCCTTATTCCAGGCAGCAGGTATTTGCCTCCTGGTGGTCCAGCTCCCTCCTTTCTGGAGGTCTGCAGAGGGTGCTGAGGGTATGGGATGCCCAGGAGAACCCCTTCAGCTTCCAGCCTTCCTACCCAGCTCCATGGAATGCCCTTGGGATGCAGAGCCATTCCAGCCCCAGAATCTGCATGCCCAGGCCTGGAGCATCCCCGGGAACATCAAGGCACATCAARGTCCCCGTGACTCTGCGGCCACGGCTCAGTGGGATACACAAGGATGCTGGAGAGACTCTCCCAAGCCTCCCAGAGGCTGTCTCCCACCGGGAGAAGGGATGGCCACCTCTGTCCTTCCTCTCCCCCCCCATCCTGGAACCTACTTGATGGTTTTCTTTTCGCTGCGGCCTCGGCTGGAATCTGGAGTTCCCACGGTCTCCAGGGAAGTCTTGTAACGCTTTCCCTGTGGAAAAGGGAGGAGAGGGGGTCATGGCGTGGCAGAGGACCCCCAGAATATCCTGGGACCTACCACCACTTGGAGGAAATGACCTCGATTTTGCCCTTTTATTTATGGTCTCCAAGTTCCATCCCACACATCCAGGCAGCAAAATTCCCAAGAGCTCCATCCCTCTGTCCTTGGGGGCTCACCCCAAGAACAGCATRGCCACTGCCACCAGCGTCCCATTCCATGGCCTCACTGGGAAGGAGCGGATAATTTTAGGCCTAATTGGGCCTGAATTAATTGAGTTCACCTTTCCCAGAGCCAGGGAAGCRCTGCCGTAGGATAATGAAGCCAGAGCTGGCTCCTAACTAGGGCTGGTAATCAGGGCACTCCGGCAGGTTCCAAAAGCTGCTCCGAGCTAGGGTGCCCAAGAGCCAATTAACGCCAATTATCCAACAATTAGGAGCCCAGGGTGCTCCATGCTGGGCGGATGAGGTGGGATGGGAGCAACTGCCAGAGCAGGATGGGGTGGAGAACCAGCCTTTCCACCACGCTGGTCTGGGATCTCAGGAGCCAGGCCTGTATCCAGCCTGCCCATGGAATGAGAATATTTCCCCTTTCACCTTCCTGCCAACCTCTCCATATCYACATGGAGCCATCTCCTCGATTTGCTGGGACACCTGGA